TGGTGGTTTCTGAGAGGACATTAAATAGGGTATTTTCGTTGGATATTTTATTTTTGAGTTCGAGATATTTATTTTTGAACTGGTTATGGTGGTCATTAACTTTATGAAGGGTCTGTGCGACCTTATGACCTAGATTTGTAAAATTATAGGCATTTCTCAATAGCTCAAGGGTTTCGATTAGCATATTTTCAAAAGGTGTAGCGATATCATTAATAAGGTTCAACTCTAAATCTTCCTTATCGATTAAATTGTCAGTGGGGGCGTCAGATTCTAGGTCCGTACAATCTTCATCCGTTGATTGAACTGTATTTTTGAGGCGATTTTTCCGCTTTTTCTTTTTATACGTTTTGCCGGTGTAAGGGCTCTTTTTCATTACACGACACGATAACGACAAAACGGATCCGATTGTCGGCGAACGACAGGGGGTCAAGTAAAATACATGGTCAGCAACGGAGCGCTTTTTCACTCACCGATACGATAACGATTAAGTCGTATCCGACAAGGCGATATCGTTTGTCGGAATCGAATGTCGGTTAGGCAAGCAAATTTCTCCTCAAATCGTGGCGATTTTATTAGTTGTTGTGTATCTTTCCTGTTTTATCTCCTCTTTTGATATCATCATTTTATTCTTTTAATCAATTTTAATCTTTTATTAGATCATGTCAAATGTAAAATTTGAAAATAAAAGTTTTATATAATTTATTCTCATGTCTGGTTATAAATTTTTAATTTTATGAAGTTGCATTTTTTACATTATAGTGAGGTTGAAAGACTTAAACAATCATAAAAGTTTCATTGAAAATTTTTATAAATTCATTATATGCTTTAATGAAGAGATGGTATTTTGTATAATAGTAATGGTTTGATAAGAAGGCAAATAAAGACCATTATGTATTTCAAACAGAACTCGATCTAACTACTGGTTTCTGCTTGATTGAATAATAAAAAGTCTGCTCCCTGATTCAAGTGAAACATTTTTTTAAAACATGGTAGAGCGGCTTCATAAGATAAATTTGATAAAACTCATTTAAAAAATCATCTAAAAAGATTATTCTAAATGAAACTAATATTTTAATTCGATTTGAAAAAAAAGTTAATACTTTAAAACATTTAAAGAATTTAAGTAATGTTAAGTGATTACAGACATAATTTTAAGTGTAGATTGGCGGCACTTAAAAACCGCCAAATCTGTAGCTGCTGTGGCGTTAATACGTAAGTGCCATTTCGTGCACCCAAAAACGTTTCTGCACTGCTAGCTTTTTTCTTCTAAAATAAAGTAAGAAGTTTGAGACGACGATTATCATCCGGCATATTTAAAGTTTGCAGAAAAAAATCACAACAGAACACAAGCAACTGCTCACTTGTTGGGTCTTTGTGCCAACTAAATTAAATGAACACCAATTTACGATACTACCAATAATTTTATCAAAAAAATAACATATTTTATTTCTTAAACATTTTAGAACACAACAACATTTATTATGTATCTAACTCCGTTGCCAAAACGAATTCAAAACTAAAACTTATAATTTTTCGAAACACGTTCAAATAAATTATTTAAATTTTATGTCTCTACACACTCAAGCTCAAAACATTGAATGAACAAGAATTTCTACTTCTCGGACTAACGATATCGGACAAGTGAAAAAACAATTGCTTAAACGATCCGGCAACGACATTGTCGTTCACACATTTGTCGTCCGATTTTGTCGGTATCGTGTCGTGTAATGAAAAAGCGCCCTTAGGATAACTGAAATCCAAAATATTTTTGGAAGGGGTACATCCCTCTTTAACAGCGGCGTTAAGATTGGCATTTGAATCCTCAATAATAACTACAGCGTCCATAGGACTCTCGGAGATAAGAGGTGAAATCGTATTTTGCTGGTCCTGTAAGGGACCATTTTGTGATAAATCAGTAGGTGAGGCCATGAAACTCTGGTCCCACCCAGAATCAACCGACGCTAAACTATATTCCACAATAAATACATAAAGAACGAAACTTACTTAGGCAAATTTCACTAACTAGCACAATTTAGACGCAAGAATACTTATCTTACAATCAACTCTTGTGAACGAATTCTTAATATGGTTTGATTATTAATTATTTAATTTTAGAGTGGTGACTTGCATGGACTAAAATTTGAACTTTGATCGCGGTAGTTAGTTTTCAAGTCGCATGCTTAATTTTTATTTTAAAAATAGTAAATTTTCTGAACATTCGAAATTTGAACTCATGTTTTTAACCAATGCGAGCAAAAATTCTTCTTTCAAGATTATAATTTAACAAAAGATGAAAAGACTGAATATAAATAGAAAGAGAAAAGAATCCTGACAAAAGAAAAATGAAATCCTTACATAAATATTTAAGTATTAGATACTCTTTCGTCCTGGAGAAAATATTTCTTTTCTGTTATGAAGTTTTTGTATTCATTTTACTAAGCTTATTATTTTTGAAATCAAGAAAGAGGAAGTTGAAAAACAAAAATAATTAGTTCATAATTCGCAAATGACTTACAGGGTGCGAGCGTGAATTTTTAATTTAAAAAAAATATCCCTGAAAGCAAATTAAAAATATTTGTTACTTACTGAGAAAATAAATGTTTGGAGAAGGAGAAATCAAAGAGATGAAAAGAGACTAATAAAAATGTACTTATGAATTTGAGCCAAATTTTGTATTAACACATTCACGCCGGGGTGACCCACCGGTGGGTCGCGCTAAATTGTCTCATCTTCACGGCGCACCGGAGTAAAAACTGGTAACAAATAAATTTAATTTTTTAGTTTTTTTCCGGGAATAATAAAAATCCATAACTACCAATTGTTTTTAACGGATGCAATTTTTATATTGAATTGCTTCTTCGCCGTTAATAATTTCCTTACAGTGAATTGTTATTGCTGAGAATAGATTAACTCCTCCCGAATATTATCTAATATTGAAATAGTTCTTCGACCAGTATTTTCACTTTTCCCGGCATGAACGTGTTAAACCCAGTTGTCGGAAGTGAAGTGTTACAAGTAGTGAAACTACTATACCTAGTTGCTACTTTTTTTCGTAGTTTATAGTGTAGTGTGCTACTTTTTAAAAAAAAGTAGCGTAGTGAGTAGTGCGATACAAAAAACAGTAGTTTCTGGCGACTACAACGTTAATTTAGGTTGTTGTTGTTGTAGTTCCATTACGATGCACTAGAGCTGCACAATGGGCAATTGGCGACGTATTATCATCCCTGAGGATGATCCGAAGACATGCCATCACAATTTTGATCCACTGCAGAGGGGATGGCACCCCTGCTTTGGTAGCCCAACGACCTGCAAGCGAAACGTTAATTTAGAAAATAAACACAGTTCTAACGCAACTAGTTTTTCGAATTTGATGGGTGCAAATCTTCGCCGGCATGCCAATGGATGCAATGAAAATGACCTTGCACCTGAGCGTTAACAGAAATTACGTATTTAAAATCACGTATAACTAATATTTAAACTAGTCATTACGAAAAATAGATAAATAATCACTTTGGCCACATTTTCACAGGCGAGTGCACACTCGTGAAACTTTGATGTTATTTAAAAGGAAGGAATTGATTTTCGATGCACTTAACTTCTTAGAGGAAATTAGAGAGCATTAAATAATCAAAAAATTGCAAGTATTTGATAATTTCGCTTTTCTTAAATTAAATAATCACTGTCGAAAAGGTATAAAAAGTTGTAGGCTAAATTAGCAAATTCGAAAAAAAAAATTGGAATAAGAAACTGGCTCATGTAAGCGTGAATAAATATTTCCTTATATTTAATCATAATGTAAGCCAATTTCTTATTCAAAAGCATTTTTAATATATTTGTAAATTAGTTTCTCCAACAAAGCCCGTCTCCTTTAAGTAGTGAACTAATTACTATAATTTCAAAGTAGTTTGTAGTTACAATTTCTAAAAGAAGTAGTAGTAGTTAACTACTTTTGTAATAAATAGTTGTAGTAAACTACAAAAATAATGTAGTTTTTCCGACTACTGATTAAGCCTAATATTATGAGCTTGGTAGAAATAACGGCATGTTTATTCAATCTATAGAGGAACAATAAATACCCTTGGTTTTATCAGGGCTGAAGGTTAAACCCATCGAGACAGAAAAGAACAAAAACTGGAAAGAAAACAATTTCATTATAGCTTTTTGAATAGAGGATTAAATTATACATGACTACCAAGATGTTTATAGTTATAACTTATGTATTCGGCTGTTTTTTTCCCGAGTCAAAGTAAACATTGATGAACAGTTTATAATTATGTATAGGGACAGCTTTCGTTTAAACTGATAAAAATGAAATGGTTTTACTGTTTACTTTCAGGCCTAGGTTTTATGAAACTTGTGAATAATTTTCATAAGTAAGGAAGTCTTAAAAAGTATTCAAATTATAAAATACAAACTACCATGCAGTGATCATGAGAAAAATAATAGTAGTAATTGCAATATTCATTATGATATATTAGTAAGACGCCTAAGTCATCATTAAAACAAAGTAATTGGATGACCATTTACCGTTCGTGTAACCTTTTTCTTAGTCGTTGACGAAATCTTCACAATCCCGTGTAAGTACGTAAATAGTTGTACATATTTTCCCTACTACTTCCTATTTTATTACCCCTGCATATATGTTAAACTTCGTCTAACCCCTTGTAAAAACCTACTCTATTCTAATCTAGTTAAATCTCATTTATGTTTAATTTTTTTTTTATTAATTTCATCTTATGTTCAGCTGATTGGCTTCCCTCGCACCCCTTTCCCTATTTGTCATAGAAATAACTCAACTTGATATATCTAGATCTGAAATTTACAGATTTTTTTTATTTATTTTAAAAGTGAAAGTTATATATACAGACTAGAAATTATTCAGTTTCCTTAAAATAAAATTGGTACTATTCATTAAAAAAGTAATAGAAGAAAATAATTAGTTCCAATTTTGAAAATCAGTCTACACTCTGATCAAAACAGAAATTAAATTTTTTTCTTACGTTCTTTCCAATGAGATCTGATCTGTTATCGATGATTCCCCACGGGGCAATGCCTATTGCAAGCACTCTTCCTCTTTGACGTGGAGTTCTTTCGTTTACAAGGGCTTCCCCCACATGACGCATGACACCTGCAAAAAAAAAAAGAGAAATAAAATGTCAGTCATGACAAAAAACAAATTTCTTATAAAAGTATACCTTTGGGAACCCGAGAAGGCTCTTTAAAAACGTTATGTCTGTAGGCTTTATCCAATTACCTGTATTTGTTCCAGCTGTAAATATCCAAGCACCTGTCGTTTTAGCTGCTTTCACCAGTCCTTGTCTAAGCACCGCTTTTAATTTAGGCTGCAACTCAAAGTTGGCTTTGCCTCCATGCACAGTGATGAGCAATTTCGGAAGTTCCAACTGCCATTCTCTCGTCAACAGTTGAAGTAGAAGCTCAGGTTTGGTGTCAAAGCTCAAGCGTACATACTGAAAAAAAAAAATTTTTTTTCTTTAAAAATGAAGAAAATGAGTACAAATTAAAAATACAAGTAGCTTATCTATTAACTCATGATCCAATTAAGTGTTTAGTAATAACATCCATTTGTGGTAATGCGTACTCGATTGTACTAAAAGTTTTCGGAATGCTCGTTCCTAAAATCTTTGACACTCTGAGAGCATCTTTCCACGGCATTCCCCCTTCTCCTTAGTTTTAGAAACAAAAAGATTTTTCAAAAGACAGGGGTCAGTGATTCATTTCCACAGGCTACAAACATTTGCTAAAGGAAATGGTTTAGGAAGGTCGAAGCAACCAAGAAAACCTCACCGTTAGAATTAAATAGATTTACGAACGAGGAATTTAAAAGATGTTTCGGAAACTTTTACTTAGAAATACAGAAATTAATTACAGCAGGTAGAGGTTACTTCAAAGTATACTTAATAGGTTTGTAAGTCATATAATATTTTCATGAGTAATTAGATTAGTTCTGTAAATTAAAAAAAAGAAAACCGTTAGAAATCACATTAAAAAGTTAACTGAACAATCATAATACCTAATGCTTTCGTGTAAACAAAGGAAAAGAAAGAAAATTAGTCATTATGCATAAATTTTAAGGCATTTATGCCTAGCGTCTTTTTAAAAGCACGTTTAACTTCTTCAAAGAAGAAAAAAGTGGTAGTACAGGGATGTCATAATTCAAATTATTGCGCAGGAACAAGGTAGTTCAGTTTACCATAATTTATTTGGAATGTAGGTATCTATATTTGGTTCTTTAGTCAACGCCTAGTGTTTCTTTAGAGCTAAAGTGGTATGCAACATAATGAAATATCCACTTAGTGTACGACCACTTTTCTCCTGTAAGTGTTTTTTACATATATATACCACTTTTTGTGACTACGCATTTAATTTTAACCCCTTGACAATGACATATATTTCAGAAAAGTGAACCAAACATGGAAAAAAATTTTGACATTTTAATTTTGTTCTTTATATTATTATAAAAATGAGAAAATGGTATTTTATTACAAGAATAAAATTTTAAATGCTATAACTACTGTATTTATAATTTTTACATACACATAAAAAAAGGAATGGATTACAAACACATCTTATTCAATTAGAGCAAATTAAACAAAATTTTGGAGCTATAATATTACTAGTACTGTAATCTAATATAAAAACAAAATGATTTTCAATACATAAATGTAAAAATTTTTTTACACTATTGTTTATCCCAAAAACCCCACCCTCATTTCCCTCCCTTGACTGAAGTCGTACAAAACTAGGACCACTAATGCCATCTATTAGGAAAATAGTGAATTAAGCATCATAAAGTAGAAACAAACATAACTCGGGCTTCACAAAATAGAAACGTTAATTTTTGTCCTGCCCGAAGTCAGTTCGGGAATCAAAAATAATGCACGTAGTAGTTGCCCGAATTGGATTCGGACGACACTGGCAAGGGGTTAAACTTTAATGTTTAGGGATACCCTCAACCTATTAATAATGGATTAAATCAGGGTAATATTATCTCAATGTGATTGATACTCATAATAAGGGTGACACAAGTGTCTTGATTTAAGGTGATAAGAGCAGCGATGCCAACTTGCTCCGGACAGAAGATAAAAATTTTCAAGTGGTAGTCTTTTGATGTATGATTTTTAGGTTAGTGATTTCGATTTATAGTGTTTTTTCGCACTATTACTTCTAAATAATTCAAAGGCTAATGCAATACGCCACGTCTTACAGTAGAGCCGTCGTATAAAACCTTTTAAGAAGATAGCAAAATTATTCGAAGAACTGCGTATTTTTGTTTCATAAAGTATTTTGATGAAACCGGAGTAGTTGGCAACTCTGTGTGTCTTCAGAAAATGAAAAAAGGATAGCAAAGTTTCTAAAAGAACATTAAAAAAGCAACTCTTTATCTTTCTAATTATTTAAAAAAAAATATTTCTGTTCTGAAATTAATAAGTTGGAAAGTTAAGGCAGTAAGTTTTCATATATCCAATTCGAAATTTTACTATTTGTTTCTTAGTTTTCTGAGGGCCCTGGTCAGCTTACCCATTGTCACAAATGCAAACGAGATACAGATAGTCACAAATGCCATGCTACCCTAGCACGCAAACTATTTAATGTGGTAGTGAAATTATAAAGTAAGTAGAATTAGTTTAATTTTGCCAGCGGTTAATAGCTTCATCATACGATTATTGGGTCTGATATATATTGTTTAGTCTGTTTATATGCCATGATTGTCGAAAATCAATTTCTAAATGAAAAAAAAAATTGTATGAACTTCATTCGGAACATCATTTGGTATTCATCATTTAGAACATAGGTTGGTATTAATACCCATAATAAATAGCACTTTTTTATAATACCATGGGAAATGAGTTTTCGCAAACAACTTTATAGTTTGATAATGAAAGAAAAAAAAATCCACTCAAATACAAATTAAGAAAAAAGAAAGAAAAAATAACATTGTTCGTCATTTTCGTTAAAATAATTTTTTTAAAGTAAAGAGTACAAATAAGAAAAACAATTCTTTTTTTTTAATTTAGAAAAAGAAATAGTTTTTTCTCTTTTTTTATGAAATTGGAAAGAAAAAGATTTCTATTTCACTATGTTAAAAAAAATGTTTTTTTTTATTGTAAGCATAAGAATGTAGACGTAGAAATGTATAAATATGTACACAAAAAGAATTAAAGATTATTTTAAATTTTTATTACAAAACGGCGAGAGTGGCTTTTCGCTCTTGAATTACGAGAGGAAAAAAAATTATTATTTTTTTTTCATGATTATAAGGAGAAAAAAATTTTTATTCTCATTTTTATTAAATAAAGGATAATAAAAAACATTCTTCTGTATTATTTATTACACGAAATGGACAATATTATATTTTCTTTTTATCAAATAAGTTTTGAGAAATATTTTTTACTTAGAGTATTTTTTTTTAAATACCGAAAAAGGAAAATTATTTTTTCACATGAATCAGAATATCCTTTTTATATTATATATTTGTTTTCAACTTTCGAGCTTTCTGCAGATGAATTTTTGTAAACTTTTTATTATTATTATTTGTGTTTTATTTTATCGGTCACATGTAATGTTAATTTTTTTTTTAAAACTTACTGAGATTTTATTTCGGTTAAAAAATTATAAATAAAACTAGTTTGTGCGTTTAAAGTTCTATTTTTCCCACTCTTCTCACTTTTTTTTTTTTTTTTTGAATATCACGTTTCTTTTTCACCCCATTAATAAGTATAAAGAACTGAAAGAAAAAAAAACTGTTTATAAGCTCAAATCCTTTCAAACGCCGTGCTTCCAGAACCACTTTTTCTAAAATAATACAAATAACCAGAAATGCAAAAGTTATTTTTTTTAAACGTTCTTTTAGTACTTTCATTCTGCTAAACGCTCTATAACATAGTAGCGGGTTCGAATCCCGCTATGACTCTGGTTATATTTTTGCAATGTTCCTCTCAAACCTTCGCCAACTGTTCCCGAATTCCCAAGGGCTTATAAACCGTAACTTGTAAAGAGCATAGAAGTCTGCATATGTATATCTAGTAAGTATTATTGTTATATATTAGTGATTATTATTTATTAAATACGACATACCTTTTTAACACTAGGTTTACGGACGTTTCTTATATACCCATCTCTACGAACACGCGTCAATTTGACGCATGAACGAATACATATAACAGCACTTATAGAGATGCCAACTTAGTCCGGACAGCAAATATATATTTTAAAGTGGTAGTTTATCAATTGTTATTCTTAGCTTAATAAATTTAATTTATTAGATTTTTATCCGCCACTATTTCTAAATAATTCGCAGGCTTATATAACTCACCACTTTATATTTGCAAAATTTAACTTAGTATTTTTTTACCATTTTTTAAAATTTTACGGCGTGACCGGAGCAGTTGGCATCTCTGCACTTAGCAAACAATGTAATTATATACTAAAGAAGAAAGATGAAAATATGAGATATATATTTATGAGATATTCTAGTATTTTATTTTCCAATACTCGAAGCAACTGAAACCTTCAAAATCTAACACTCAGTCATCAATTGACATTCTGCGTTTGTTCTTTCGATTATTGCTTATCGGCAACAGTTGTTTATTGCTTGTTTCATTTGAGATAACGGATCGAAGTATTGTCGGTACATTCCTATTTATTATTGATGCGATGTTTGCATGTTTACTCAAAATTTTGTCTAAATTAGGATTGCGTCAAATTGATGCATATCCGTAGAGATAGGTATACCACAAAGAGAATTTCAATATTTCAACGCTTTTGAAAAAAATAGACTTCAATATATATTTACCGCGATCAATGGATAAAAGTCATTACAAGAGATAAAATAAAAATTCAAACGGGTTTTGTAATTTTCCTTATAAAATTCGAAATGCGTCAAAATGACGCGTCCCGTAAGCATAGTGTTAACAAAATCTACAATTCCTTTTTAGATGCACTATACTAGAGATAATTTTTTATTTTAACTGGAGAAAAAATTCTATTGAGACAAGTATAGCCATTTTTCAGCCCAGAGCAAATGATTTTAGAAATTTAACATTTGTCTTTGTTTTAGGTAAAAAATATTTACAAAATTAAATATTTCATGAATAATTGCGTTCATCACCTGTACTCAACATCGGATACGTATAAGTATGCTCATTTTATTCAATTCCGACTTTCGCATTTTGAACTCAAATCTAGAAAAGAAAGGAATATTTTCATCATACAAGGAAAACAATTGGTCCTCTAGAATACGGTTCGAAGGTTACGGCGTAAGAAATTTTAATAGTGGTGTTAATTTTATTGCATGCAAATTTTAAATTTACAATCACACTTGTGAACTTTTCTTTTTCTGTTTGCATGAAAATTTAAACGGATCTCTGGCCTCAAATCTGCCATCAGTTTCGCTCTACAACGATCAGTTCTCATTCATTTTTCTAATATAGTCCTAACCAGAGTTTTT